TGTCACATAAAAATTATGTAATATACTACTACATAAAGTATTAATTGAATTGAAAACCTTCCTGTGGATTTTAACAACATATATTGAAAAAATTGCACTATTGTCAGCTAAATTTTGAAGTATTTGCAACGTTTGGTTTTTGGCTCATATATTGATGTAGGCAGCGTGTAAACTATTGTTTTTTTGTTTTTTTTTACACATAGGCCTATTTCCATGTAAGCCTATATACAATGCAAATTTATGGCATTTTGCCTCATTATATTAAATTTAATTTGTTTGTTCCATGTTACATTTTCATGGAACTGTCTATATCTATCTATTGCTTCCAAGTATGTCTACAAAATGACTGTCGTATTAAAGTATTGATAATGATCTGGAGTGATCACTTGCCCTAGCTGACGTGTTATCGTACCAAATACTCAGTACTTTCCAAATACTTTAGGGAAAAAAATCGGGTGGGAAACGAACCTGCATCATTTACAAATTTTGTTTTGCAAGTGTTTGGGAGCGCGTACTGAGTATTCGTCAGCTATGACAAAACATTACTCCTATGCTATTTTCCTGACTCAAACTTCATCAAAATAAACTACTATCTGAGAATTATGTCATACCCAAAGCGAATTAATGATGAATTCGTTCACGCATGGTTTCTTCAGCGTAATAGTTATTATAACAGAAAAGATAGTCAAGAGCTTACATGAAAAATGTCTATTTTGAACGAAAATCTTAAAAAATAAAATGTAATAGCTTCCGGCGGTTTTGTTCCTAGATCTGCACTTATGCCTACTAAAAGCGCTCTAATCAGGACCTCAATCTCTAGCCCTTGGCCGTTGTTTTCGGTGGTCCTCGGTTCACAAATAAGTAAATCGGAAATAAAAAAAAAAACAAGAAACACATTCTTAGGTCAGAATGCCCCCTGTATACAGAGTGTATAAATGCAGATGCAAAATTGCATGCTTTGCAAGTGTGTTATAACTGACTTAAGCTGGGAACTCACTGAGCTCCCGACGGTCATCGGCCGACACAATTCAATGGAGAATGCAACGCCACAACGTGTGCTCAGCGGATCGTTTTTAATAACGATTCGTTCAGCAGATTTATCGACAATCAGCAGACAGCGTCACCTAATACGGTTGACATTGAAGGAGTTAGATTCGACAGCCGACCAGTGGTCGGGCGTCTCTCAAAATCTCTCGAAAGTGTTCAAGGGGGGAAAACATGACATTTTCAAAGGCAGGGGTTTCAGATGCTTATTTAATCGGTTTTGGGGTCTACTAATATGTAGAAAATACATGTACATTTTCCCCCGACGAATTGTGGCTGAACCGCTCCCCCACCTCCCTACTTTTATGAACAGACGTCTATTTAGATGTGTATAAGAGACAGACCGTCATACGACGCAGTGAATGCCTGGCTTTATGTGCATAAATTAACTGATACTAATATAAGTGCTATTAATGGACCCGTAAGTTCATAGACTCCACTCACAACCACATTAAACGTGCAATCTTTATTTGTTCAATTGGTGATACATGGTTGTTATTGCGTTTGTACTATAATGTTTTGTGAAAACTCAATAAACTGAACATAAGTAAGAAGTTGAGCTTGTATATGCGCATATCAGATCTTGAAAATCAGATACTTATAGACCTATAATCAAGAGACCCACAAACTTATAGACAACATAGGCAATCAGACTGTATTTTAGTGCCTCTCCACCTATGTGTCGAGACCCAAATTTGGGTCGCCAAAGCATTTCTGAGGATCGCAGAATTGCTTCTGACTCAGTGAAAAGAGAGAGAAAAAAAACCTTCGATAAAGCGCATATATCTCAAAACATAGTGGAAAATACAAATGACACACCCAGTCGTAGTACGGACACGAAAGCTAGAAATTATTGTCAACCCCAAACGTAGAATCAACTCTCATGGTTGCACTGTCGCCAATCTCTCCAAGGAAGATAATTAAAATTAAGCAGGAATATACCTCAATTTAACAAGACGTACCAGAATAAACAAAATGTTTAAAATAATTGTAAGTTGCTTCTTTCATTTTTGAGTTCGTTCGAGCCTTTCTGTGGGGACATACAATTGTCTTTTTTTTGTTATTTATATTTGCAAGTCAGCGTCGCCCGAGTCGACTGTACACTAGTAAAAAATTCGTCATTGTTTTAAACATTTCATAATCATGAGTGTAACTCAGTGGCAGATTCAATGGTGACCCAGCCGCCACCCTCCTACCTAATGGAGAGAAAAAAATTGTATTCAAATTTAAGTCTGAGTGTTCCATTTCCGGCCATCTAGGTACCGTAATTATAAATTTTCTTACCTCAGACCCAACCATGGTGGGACTGAGGTAGTATTAACACCCTATGAAAGTCCTTCCCAAACCCCTCTATTTCGAATCACTTGATTAGTCATTCCTCCATATTATAAATAAACATCCAGCACCCAAGATCAAAAGTCTTGTGTGCTTTGTTAAGTAAATAAAAATCGAAACGATTTTTTGCTGCTACTTTGTGTTCAACCACGGAGGAATTAACTAATTCCTCCATGGTTTAACTTAGCCGAGGTTGATTGCCTGTGCCTATGTAATCAACACATAACACACAAATATCATTTTGGTATGACAATACTGTATATGTCATGGTTCGCGACAGAATTTGCATTCTGAAAATGGGTCGCCACCTAAAAGAGGTTTAGAAGCTGGGGTTTAAACTGCTGCAAATGATATTCTGATTATACACACCTACATGTAGAAATATGAAAAACAAATCGTGTATGGCCTTTGACCTCCAAAGGAACCTAGATGTACTAGGAGCTAGATAATATTATGATAATCATTAACCCGAACAGACAATGGGTGATGACAGAGACTGGTCAAGACTCTAATCGATTTCATTTTAGTTTGAGCTAACCAGCTACACTTAACTGCTGGCTGTAGGACTTTTGATAAGATTTTATAACTGTTTTGTGAGCAGAAATCGAGAGGTACCGTAGGTAATATTCTTAGGTAATATAGTTATCAACTTTTAGCAAGTACCAACTATTATTGTCTGATAGGTTTCACCACATTTTATTTATTTATTTTTTTTTTTTTAAATTTTACTTTTCTTTATAATATGTGAATGAAATCAATACCTTTCCAATTGTGTTCCACAATACTTACTCTTTACATTATTTTCAATTTCAATGGTCTACCTAAGTTACTGTATGCATTTTTTTCAATTGATTAGCGATCGAGTCCCTATAAAATCTTACCAATTTGTGGAATATACGTATGTAGGCCTAACTAACTAAGCATCTTGTTAAAATACTATCTACACAAACAACCCCAGATAGTAGTAATTACTAGAAGTACCCCTTCTATTGAAGTGTAGTACTAGTAGCAGATAGGTGCAGTACCATCAAAGGCTAGAGAAAAAGAGGCCAGCCTAGGTCTTACTAAAGCTGAGTTGGTCCTACCTAGGCCCCTAAGTCTAGGCCAAGGCTTCCTAGCTACAGTGTCTTTTGCCTGACACCAACAGTAACAACGCTTCACATAACATGACATTGATTAAATTTTGGAAATAAAATGGAAAATAATTGAACCATGAAACTAAAAATAGGACAGTAAGTAAGAAAAATAATATTAAATAATATTAATAAATCACGATGTGAGTTTGCGTTAGGAAAATATCATAGGAGTGATGTTTTGCCCTACCTGACGTGTTATCGTACCAAATACTCAGTAATACGTCCCCAAATACTAGCGAAAAAGTTTCGGGGATAGACGTACTGAGTATTCGATAGGATAATACGTCAGGTAGGGCAAAACATTAGTCCTACGATATTTTCCTGACGCAAACTCAAATCGTAATAGCACTTGCAGTACACGCTGCCACTTGGGGATTGGATTCATCACTATATAATAATAAAAATAAATAATAATAAATAAATAATATAATATAATATATTTATTTACTAATATCTTTAGCCAGGATGACACAATCATGTTAAAGAAATGTTTTTCATTGTGGTCCTGGAAAAAAAATAAATAAATAAAAAATAATAATAATAATAATAATATTAATAATGATAATAACAATCATAATAACAATAATAATAAACAACAACAAAAAAATAATAATGATAAACAAAACACAAAAGAACACACCCAGAGTCAGGCATTAATAATCATAATCATCATTTCGAAACCCTTTTCCTCCCCAATTCCACTTTTTTTTTCTTTCCTTTTTCATTTTTTTCTTCCTCCATTTCCTCTTCATAAATCACGAAAATGGCATACGCGCGCCCCCGCTTTAGAGATGTCGCCGCCATCACTACCGTGTACACGCAGGTACCTCGGCGTCAGTTTGCTGGGCTCCGGTAGCTTCCACCGAGGATAAGCCTGCGGCTCCCCTACCGTGCACTGCTAAGTTGACGGCGACACCTCAAATAATATATAGGCCCCTAGACTAAGTATATTAGTTTTAAAAAATACAAAAAAAAGGCATAAAGCGCACTGACCTTCCTTGTTACTCTGGAAGGTATGTTCCCAGGGAGGTAATAATATGGTAGCTTTTAAAAATTAGATAAAACAATGGGTTAGGGTCATGAATGATAAACATTCAATTTCAATTTAGTTGAGTTGGCTAATTACATTTAACCATTAACTATAATTTAACATTCGAGAGCATTAAAACGTAACTTTGATTTTGGAATGCGATTTTAAAAATCGAACAACTTAATGGTTTCCGCGACGGCTACGGGCGCTATCACTGCAGTTCAATTGCTAAAACCATTCTGATATTGTTCGTAATTTAAGCATTTTAGTGAAATTTACTAGTTCTAAGCAACACTACTTAACATTAATTATTTGCAGAACATTAAAAAAACCATGTATTTTCATACTTATCGTCGCTTGTGAGTCCATTTACGCTTTTAATCTATTGGTCACAAGGCTGTAGTCAAGGCTATAGTGTGTTATATCATAGAGAAAATAGAACTGTTCTATTTTCTCTATGGTTATATTATATTTATCCTAAATTAACTTGTTAGAGCTTTCTTCGATATTGAGCAATAATGTATAATTTAATTATAGAATTATTTTTACTTTTATGAACAGACGTCTATTTTATGCATCTTAGCCTCCTGAACAAATTGACTACTAGGCCTGAAGATAAACGTTCCATGGCAATTTAAACTCATTTTCAGAGGTTAAAGGTTAAAGTAAACGATTTTATGTAACCAAGGATTTTCATAATCAACTTGTTTCTTTAAAATTTGAAACAAAAATAAGGCAAAAACACCTATTCAAAAATTTCAAACAAAATAAACTCTTGCAAAACAGGTTCGGTGACAAGATCAATCATGATCAGTATTTTTGTAATAGAACATAGTTCGTGTTATATTTAATATATTTATTATTAAAGTGAGAAACGGCATGGATATATCAAGTACAACAGCATTGTTTGTGGTTATTGTTACCTTAATAATAACATGGTTGTATAAGAGCACGCGTCGACCACCTGGAATGCCGACTGGACCTGTCGCTTATCCAATCATAGGAAGCATGTCTGGTAAATATAATACATTTTGTTTTTGAGCATTCTCTGCCAAATTGTTGCTCTTCGTAATCAAATATTATTGAAGAATAAGATTGAAGAATTATTTACTGTTACACAATTCGTATTTATTTTACATATTTTACATACATTAAGTGTTTACTGGAGAAACCCCACCACAAGAAGTAATGAAGAAGATGTCAAAAACATATGGTGATATATTTTCTCTCAAGATTGGATCTTTCTGGGCTGTGGTTCTTAATAACTATGAGTTAGTACAAGAGGCATTGTTGACGAAACCAAACGATTTTAGTGGACGTCCGCCTTCATTTTTATGTAAGTTACATTCATAATAATAATAACAATAATAATAATAATAATAATATTAATAATAATAATAATAAATAATAAATAATTAATAATAATAATAATAATAATAATAATAATAATAATAATAATAGTATATTATAATCTATACAATCTATAAATCCAAGCAGTTAACATAAAAATTAAAAGTATCTTTCCATTCAAAGATTACTTTTGGAATTAGGAGTTTTGTGATCTTTTGACTTTACACTCTAATTTACTAAAACGACTATCATAAAGATAGAAGCGTTCATTTGGGGCAATTGAAAATGGACTTAATGTGGAGAAGGTCTTTAATTATGGATAGATAGAGCTTCCGGTAGATATTATGTTTAAAAATGGCTTTTAATTAAAGGGAGGCCTGTACTTTTTACTAGGGGGTGATAAATTTAGTCCTTTTTTTAACAATACAAAGTTTGTTAGTGACAAGATGTTAACAGTTGCTTCATACAGGTTGATGATAGTGATAATTAAGTATATGATGCTACAATATTATACATTTAGCTTTAGTTTGTCTCGTTCTTAAGATCTATTTACACAGAGCCTTCAGCAGCACATATCAGAAACAAGAACTTAGGCCTACTCTCAATTATGGTCCACATAGAACGCTACGCAACAGAGCACATCTCGAGCTAGGAAAAATCATTTTCCATTTCCAAACTTTTTTCGTGCGACAAAGAAAAATATTACATTAATTTTTTACATGGTGATTATAGTCTGCATAACAAACAGCAAACGACCGTTGTTTATAGCGCTGTGTGGATAGATTGCATTGCACGCCAGAATGTTCCCTGTCATTGCCTTGTGCAACTTTCGTACTAGACTCTGCATCAAAAGGCCTCTGAAGTTTTTTTTTTCTTGTTACTTATCAACATGTAGTCGACTGGTTTACAGATGGTCAGAAGGACATCGCTGTCGCCAACCCTACTCCGATTTGGAAGTACCATCGAATGTTGGCCCATTCCGCAATTAGGTTAGTAATTCGTCATTAAAAATGTGTTACATGATGTATATAGACATATATATTATATATATCATATATATTATATATATAT